TCCTCGACAACTTAGAAGCTTTATACATAGATGAGATTGTTTTGAGTTCTATTCATGCATGTCATATATGATATACACAAGAAACTGGAAAGTTACAACTGCATGCTGTGCTCGTATTGTTCATTCAACGTCATTTTCGTTTACACTCTCTGATTGCGGGTAAATATTATAAATGCATTTTATTTGACATAGCGTCTATAATGTGCATATTACAAAATATTCAGTTTTTTTTAACCTGTCGTTCTGCAAAATGATATAAAATGACATTGATTGGTTTTGCGGCTCATTACCGTCTTAATTTTACTAGCAAATTGTACGTTTTTAAAGCTTATTTTCGGTGCACAGTCTTTTTTTCAGTCTTTGGAAATTTTCAACAAGTTTATTTTTCAACAATACAAGATGATCGAAAAACGTTTATTGCAGCCTCGATTTAACTATAAAACCTTTCGAATCATTTTAGGATGGATGAATAAAGAAGAAAAGAAGAGGAACAGAGACGAAGTAGTAATTTAAACGAAACCTTTGTGAACGAGTGAGACCCGCATTGTGCATAAGATGTTCCCAAATGAAAGCCTTTACGACCTCTCAGAATACCGTCTTTTACTACTTTTGCAATCTAAAACGCTTTGACGAAGTTCCCGATTTTTCGTGTGCACGATTGGTACCTTAATTCTTGAAATAGTGCCAGAGAAAAATTTTTATATCACCGCTACTATGTAGTGGATAGTTTTTATATGTATGAGATGGGAATGTAGAGTACAAAGCAAAACAGGCTTGAAACCATTAGAAAAAAATTCATTTATTTTGTAGTAGTCTACGAATTTCATCGAGGACCATTTTATGCACAAAGCGTTTCTGTCCTTTCTTCGTCAAAGCTACTGTCTCAAATTATGTCGACTAACAAAAGTATTCCACTCTAATATTAAGATAAGAATACTTAGTATATGATATTCGAACGAACCTTTGACGCTATGGCAACATCTCAATAGGATGCTATAGAATAAAAAACGATTTCCCGATTAGTTAATGAGCTAATCACTAATATATATCACAATCATTATCGTTCTACATTGTTTTATGTGACGATCTTTTTCGCATGCGCTGTATGCATGCTATTTGTCCTTATTTCGGTGCATTTTTGTGTACTGTGACATTATCCTTCTTTCCTTTCTTCCTATCGAGAGAAGGGTAAAAAAACGTCTGTTCTGTATCAGAACGATGCGATTCATCATAGGAAGAAATAAAGAAAGACATGATTCCATCAGGATACACATATCTTCCATCAGAAATCGTCACATTTTACACTTAATTCTTGCAAATAATCTAACTTCCAACAAAACCTCATCTATTCGCAATTGTCAGTTAAGTGTATTGTATCTCCCAAATTCAAAGTCTGGATAGGAACATATTCGGACTGAAAAATTAAGCGTAGTGCGAATCCGCGATTAACAATCAGCATGACCAAAAAATTTTCAGTTATCTACTTCAGACAGACTAACACGTGGTATCCGGCATTTGTGATACCCACGAAAGGCTATATGACCGTTAACTAACACGTGGTATCCGGCATTTGTGATACCCAGGAAAGGCTATATGACCGTTAACTAACACGTGGTATCCGGCATTTGTGATACCCACGAAAGGCTATATGACCGTTAACTAACATGTGGTATCCGGCATTTGTGATACCCAGGAAAGGCTATATGACCGTTAACTAACACGTGGTATCCGGCATTTGTGATACCCAGGAAAGGCTATATGACAATTACTTAGGGCAATCCAAAAGTAGTGAGGGAGGTATATTTTTTCTATTAAGAAAAAGTCTAGAAATTTTTCTTTTTTTACCATTCGATAGAGCGTGTTTTGTTCTATCTTTCTATGCCATTTGATAAGTCCCCGTCTTTTGGTAAGTTGATGAAATTTCGAGAAAAAGGCTTTTTGTATACAACTCGCTGGTGGCAGAAACTGATAGTTTGATCCCAACATCGTTCTTTTCCGATTTTTCTTCTTTCATTTATTCTAGCTTTCTCTTATCATTTCTTACTATGCGCTTCGGTACAAATATAAGAAGGAATGCATCTGCGTTATTATTGAATTGTGCCGGTTCATCGTATATCTGCTGCCGTTCTTTAACATCTCTCTTTCACTTATTTCAAATGACTACTGAAAACTTTCGCTTTTACATAAAAGTGCGAACTGCACTTAACACTCCGGAAAGTGTTATTCATGATGAATTGAGGTCTGTTTATGGCGAAGAAACTCCTGTTCTCAGCACGATTGAAGGATGGTCAAAACTATTTCGTGATGGTCGAGAGAAAACTGAAAATAAAGCGCGAGCTGCTAGACCTTTCGCTGAAACAACAATTGAAAACATTGTACAAGTTCGGCTTCGTATAGATGATGATCCTTACATGCCAATCGATGGCATTCACGAACAAACTAATTTGAGTTATGGGACTGTCCAACGAACAATCAGTGATCATCTAAAGGTCCGAAAGATAACCGCTCGTTACGTATGCAAGGATCTTAACGATCTTGAGCGAGCTGAACGCGTTCGAATATGCAAGAAAAATTTTGCGAAAGTTCACCAAGGGGCATGGCTTTTATGTGATATCATTACGGGCGATGAGTCCTGGTTTCGTCACTAGAGCCCGTCGGGTCCCTCAAATTTAGACCCGGGCCCGGTCCCGAACTTTGATAGCGGTCAGATTTAAAATATATCCTGTACAAATTGGCATTTATAATCAGATATTTAATTTAGATTTGCGAAGTCTTAGCCTTTGTTTTTGTCTGCGAATTTATGAGTTAAACATAATTTGAACGATAGAAAAAGTAAAAATTCAAATAAGTTTTTAAATATAGAAATTTTCCTGGACCCGGGCCCGACGGCCTCTATGCGTCACAAACAGATCCGGTCGAAAGACATCAAATAAAGCATGGGTGAGCAAAGGAAGTGCACCACCCAATGTTGTTCAACAAAGTCGGTTCTCACCAAAGACTTTATTTTCGATCTTTTTCAGATCGACTGAGCCTATGATAAACCATCGTATCGAACGTGATCAGAATATTGACCATCGTTAACATTTCAATGCTGCAAAAAAGTGCATTTTTGTAGGCGTTCGTTTTTATATTACCAATTTTATGTTGTTCTGTCGTTGTTATATAGAAAGACTAAATATGCCGTATTGTAGCCCATGAAAAGCCCTCTCCATTCCACAAGGGCATTTTCAGACAAACTCCCTGTTTACTCGAACAAAATCTCTTTCTGT